TCATCTCTGAAAAATTTCTTATTGTTGACATCAGCATTATCTGTGCATGCTAAACAAACTATGGATTGCTCAATACTTTAAAACATTTATGAGCATGGGCTCTTTCAGCAAAAATTAAGACTAGATATTCTCCTCTATTTATATCTCTCTGCTGCGGTTCTGGTCTTGACGATCATTTATTAATTAATTTATTTATTTCAAATGGCAGGCGTTTTGATAGTTATCATTAGCCCTTTAGTTGATTTTGGGGCTTCACAGAGGGGAAGGAACATCAAAGTGAAAAAATAGTCGAGAGGGGGGGGGACGGAAGAGTGTTTCAAAGATGTAAAAGAGACAGACACAAAGATAGAGAAAAGGGTGAGGAGAGTACTGTGGAAGTAGTCGAGTATGCCATACATTGGGGTCATGGTAGTTTGAAATGAGAAGTCAATTGCCGGCTAATCGACTTTTTTGCCGTATGAGTATACGTTGCCCAGTGTACACCACGTGGAGGTAAGTCTACCGCACACCCCGTCTTGACGATCATTGCTGACTTGAAGTTGCATAAATCAGTCTGAAAAATGAAATGAATCCCACACAATGTACAAAAGCTTTTGTATCCGTCTCTTACCCTACTGCGTCAATGCAACAGTCCACAAATTCTCTTTGATCAAAAGACGCAAAATATGCGCTCTTAAGTGGTATAATGGAAGTTGCTATCATTTTACCCCCAACAGAATTACTCTTCCACTAAGATCAAGTCTCCAATAAGTGCTGTTTAGTGTAAGCACATTCAAGTTAAACTAATTCTTATTTGTCATCCTAATCAATGTAAACATATGGGAAAATCGGTCTTGCCAATCCAGTTTTAACCCCAAAGGACAGTGCAAAACGTGATTGTACTAAATGCAGGCGAGACTAGGCAAGCGGCTACATTCATTTTTCTCCAGGAGCCCTTATGTGCTCTCTAATTTCCGTTCCTTGGTTTTGCTTTAATCTTAGCCCTTCAGGACCTTTCAAATATATTTTTATCTTGTGCTGGTGAATTCATATCCACAGTCGCCTGAGTCTGGCATGACCAGTATCGTCATTACCACCCACCATCATGTTTTTGCCAATCAAACGTACCAAAAGTTATTGTGTCCAGAAACGTCACTCTGTTCTCGTCTACTCTTTTCAAAATTGCTCACTTTTGTCTTGTTGTCTCCCGTTCTCATTCTAAATTTGTTGACAATGTGAAAGACAACTCCTCTTGCACTTAAGATACTGGTTATCGCCTCCTATTGATTTCCAAATTTGGGTGCTCCATAGCAAAATTCTCCGTTCACTTTACCCATCTTTAGCTTCTGAACCGATAATGGGTCGAAATCAGATCTACCTACTTTCGCTTTGGAATCTCGAAGCTTCGGAGACCTTGCTCAATCATAGGTCAGGCAGCTTCCTTTAACGTTTTAGGAAAACTCGTAAAGATTCAGGGTGGATCCCAAGTGCGATGTACGGATTAACGACGTTGGGGTTGGATAAAAATGAATAATTTTAATAAAACAAATATATTTTAAGTATTTTGAAGTAAAGTATATGGGAATTTGGCGGTATTATTGAGCTTAGGCGAGGGGATTGTGACAGTTTTTCGGAGGTTAGTGGGGGTGCAGTTAATAAATGTAGGCATATCTCCCCGTATTGTGTCCTTAGACTTGGGAATTTCATTCTTATTTTTTAACTTCACTGCTCTTTTTTTAAAAAATAGCACCCTTTCTTAAAATTATTTCAGATCTTTCTGTTTCTCTAATATCAAATTTGAAGCTTTGTTGAGCTTAAGTGTTCTTTCTGATCCCATGATTCCCAAGACCACTCTGGAAAGCATATTCCAACTTTCATTTTTGGTGGAGAAAGTCATCATTGAGCCTCCGTGGTGAGGAACTGGAATTCTGCTACCCTCTGTATTTTACCAGTCCTAACCAGCGTTTTTGACCACTCCGCTTATTGGAGGTACATCTACTTAAAAGGACACATCTTTGTGTCTCGAGCCCTATTATCTGATGACTCAAAAGCGAACCCATTCAAGGTTTTTTTAAATATGTAATCGCATAAGGCAGGCCTATTGATACTGACTTCGTCGAAATGGAATAAAAAAGGTTAAACAACCAGTTAATTAGGTTATTTTGGAATCCTGCCTGAAGTATCATTGAAACAGACATCGTTAAGCACATGGTAAAGCTGATTAGTCACCTTTGCGATCTCATATTTAAGCTCGATATTGGCCCACGCAGTGAAGTTTATGTGGAAGCTATTCGGCATTGGTAAAGGCAATGAGTCATAACTTTCACTTGCACATCAGAAGCAACTTATTTGCCACCACAGGACTTGTGTTTAATCTTGTGACAACCTATTAAAAATACGCCAATACATATGAAACAGTTAATTTATTAATTGTCCGATTTGAGGGCATAAAGAAGATTCATTCATTTTCTAAAATACGTATTTGCATAGAAAAAATATTTCTAACTTTTTAGGACTCTGGATGTGGAGTGCAAACTTAAAGATAAACCAGAAGCCCTCAGATACTCATGTCGTCAGTTCCCTGGCCCAGTCGTTCCCGGTAATGCGCAGTACAAGGTAAAACAAATCAAACGGTTTTTTATTCTTTTGAACTCGGTTTATCCAAGTTGCAAAATTAGTCTTAAAAATTTGATTTCGTGTAATAGGTTAGTCAATAGTTTTGGCATTAATCAGTTTACCAATTGCATTCCTCTTATTGTCCTTGAGTTTTTTCATTCAAATATGAGCACAGCTTCGTCATGTTTTTGATAGGTGAGCTATGATTGGTTAATAGAAATCTCATTCAAATATATTATTTTTTTCATCTTTTAAAGCGTTATTAGATAATACATTTCACTTGATTCGTTTATTTTAATAGATCACTAATGGTAGAGTTGTTATAAAGCTTCCGAAGGCTGATCCTTCACAATCCTGGGCTGGTGAATTGACTGTGAAAGGCCTCGATCAATCCTCTTAGCACTATTGGAAACTATTGCTTTGTTACCCATGACCTATTTAAATAAATTATCTTTTCAGTTGAACATTTTAGTTCTAATAAACGTGGCATTTCGTTATCCTAACTATGACATCCATTGACGACTTAGCAAATGACGATTTGCGAGTGATTAATTTCTTCTCTATGGTAAAATTTGTCTAGTTTGCAAAACTAAGTAGTTGTACCTGAAAAAAATATTTATATCAAATGGCATGCGTTTTGATGGTTATCATTA